TGGTTAACTATTAGCTGGGATCCTAACAGGTACTACTGCCCTGGATCAGAGTGGACCTGGTAACACCAGCAATTAAGATGTCGTTCCACGTTACTCAAAACCTCCTGACCAGTGTCCTTGCTGTCGAATGCAGTTTATCGTTTTATCCAGGACGGAGACGGAAGTCGCAAAGGGCTTATGTCAAATCCGAACTACAAATTGTTCCCTTCGAAATTATTCCCCCTGAAGTCTATCGGAGATTCCCATCCTCGTACGCACTCATGCACTTCTTGAAGTTTGGAGATAAAAGAAAAAAAAACACAAGAAGCCATGTGGAGTGTGTAGGGCAGTTGTTCCAGCACAACGATGTTCATCATCCATCTTCCGGATGAGGGAGTCATACGGGCGCAAGGGTTTACTGAGTTTGAAAGTATATGGGGGGAAATATACTATAAAGGAGTGGGTATAATAAAAGTACAAGAATTATAAAATATAGAAGATAATGATTGACATTACACTTCCATTTTTGAAGCTCAAAGTCGACAGGGAAGCAAGAAGTCAGAAAAGACTTCGACAAGCGAAAAGAGCCAGAGAAGAAACTGTTAGCATAGAACTTACGGTTATATCTAACAATTTCAACTATAAAATAATGAGACCATTCCACCAACCTGGTACTGCACTTAAATTCATAAAGGTCTAGTTATCAGAAAGGAAAGTTCATCCAAACAGTTAACATGAAAGTGTTTAGAGAAAAGGCAGAGAGAAGCTACGTTACGGCGTTGGGTAGTGGGGGGGGGGACTGAAGCTGAGATGCCAGGTCAGATAATATTGCAGATTCTTCTTTGGATTTTATCAATCTGGTTTTGAAAGAATGATAAATATATCAAATCTTAAAAAACAAATGAATATATAAATAAACATGGAGTAGAAATTTAGTTAAGTATATTTAATGAGTATATTTTACTTAGGCATAATTAAGTATATTTTAAGAATATGTCAAATCTTAAGAACAAATGAATATATACAAAAAAACACTGACTGGAAATTTAGTTAAGTATATTTAATAAGTATATTTTACTTAGGTATAATTAATTATATTTTAAGAATAATGACAAATCTTAAGAACAAATTAATATATAAATAAACAATGGCTGGACATTTGACCGCAAATCAGTTGATGATGATGATGATGATGGCAGAAGAGGAAACGAAATTTTCCAATGAAACATTTTGGTCGAGGCGTAAAAAAATAGGATTATGTCTTGGAGACTATATATTTAATTCCAATTCTAGCAGCTGTGGTTACGGGTTTTATTGAGAGAAAAAGTTACGATGTGATATTACATTGTGGGTATTCACAATAAGGGAGACGGTGTTATTAGTTTCGACGCCAGTGGTATACGGCTTTCAGTTTGTGCTTCTGAGTTACAGCGAATGAAGTTATATATTGTCATTCAAGTTCCATTGGATGAAATATCCTCGGGCAAAAGCCACATAATTCTTGTAATGAAATTCTCCAGGGAATCGAACAGTCAACAGGTATAAGATATTAGAAGATATTGCGTGGATATCTGCTTGGAATTATCTTCGATAAAGAATCAAAGATTGGACGAAATCTTCTGGGTGTAAAATCCAATGGTTAACAAGCATATATACGAATATATAAATCGACACTGACGTCAATACGATGCAGTGACAGTATGTTGCATGTTTCAACCCAATCATCACGCCTGAGGATTGCGTTCAGTAATAAAACAGACTGTCGCGCTTTGGTGTTGATCTCAGTGTCCATTTTATATGTACATACGCTCTATCGCTTACATCATAAATATATCATACCTTAAAACAATATTTTATCATATATATATATATATATATATATATATATATATATATATATATATATATATATATATATATATACATATATACAGAAAGATGTGTAGGTGTGTGTGTGTGTATATATATATATATGTGTGCATATATATATATATATATATATATATATATATATATATACACACACACATCATTTGTTTGTGTGTATATATATGTGTGTGTGTGTGTGTTTTGTGTGTGCAGGTGTGTGTGTGTTTATATGTGTGCTGATATATATATATATATATATATATATATATATATATATATATATGTGTGTGTGTGTGTGTGTGTGCAGGTGTGTGAGTGTTTATATGTGTGCTGATATATATATATATATATGTGTGTGTGTGTGTGCGCGTGTGTGTGTGCGCGCGCGTGTGTGTGTTTATATGTGTGCTGATATATATGTTTATATATATGTGTGTGTGTGTGCGCGTGTGTGTTTTATATGTGTGCTGATATATATATATATATATATATATATATATATATGTGTGTGTGTCTGTCTGTTGATATATATATATGTTGATATATATATGTGTCTGTGTGTCGATATATATGTGTTTTTGTGTGTTTACATATATACTTCTCTCTGTTTATATAAATATCTGTTTATGCTTATACATATGAGTGTGTGTGTGTTCACACACACACACATAGAACACATGCGCGCGCACACACACACACACATATATATATATATATATATATATATATATATATATATATATATATATATATATATGTATATATTAATATATTTTCTGTTTATACGTTATGTTTTTAGATATAACTGATTTAAGTAAATGCTTCGATTTTTAATTAAACAATAATAATTACATTTACCTGTCTGAATATTCGAGAAATTTCGTGAAAAATACATGCTTTTCTGACAGGAATCGAACCTTTAACCCGTAATAGGAACTATCATTTGATCTGATGGGCTGTTAAACATTTAGCCACAAAGAAACGTCCGAATTACTGTTTATAAACACACACCTTCGACGATTTCTCTCGATCGATCATATCTGCTTTGATCATATCTGATGTTCGAGAGATTTCGTAGAAAATACGTGCTTCTCGAACATTCAAGTCAGTAAATGTACTTAATATTGTTTAATTAAAACAAGAAACGATCCATTTACTTAAATAAATTATATCAATAAAAATAACGTATAAACAGAATTTATATTAAAATAGATGTCGGCCTTAATCCATTTAGAGATGTGACCTGATGAACCAGGAAAAATATATTTTCTTGGGAAATAAATTATTGTCATGGAACCTTAAGGTTTCTTAATTTAATTATCTAATATATATATATATGTGTGTGTATGTGTGTACATATATAGTTATGGTTTTAATGTAAGAGGCTGTATGTAAATCTAAATCGGTTGTCGATAAAAACGTTGAAATCTGCGAGCTAAGTTCAAATTCCGGCCTTCGTTAAGACACATTTGTGATAATCTTTATTCTAGTTATCCTCCCATCATCTATGGGTAAAACAGCTCGACAGACTGGTCTCTCTAACTAGAAATGGCAACCAGTTTGAAAGAAAAGCAATTCTGAATTTTTTTAAAAATGGAGAAAGCAACTGGAAACTTTATCTTACCAAAAGTCAGTAATTATAAATTGAAAGAAAATGGGGAGAGCTATGACTGCTTTTGTTCTGTAAGTATACAGCCTTAGATCAATTCTCATGAAGAATTTTCTTTCTCTATCTCTCCCAGGAATCGGAGAACCGAGTTCGAATCTCTGTGTGTATGTGTGAGTACGTCTTTCTCCGAGAGAAACACGTCTACGAGGCAATACGAAAAATGACTGCTTCATACATACATACATACATACATAATTATATGCATACATACACAATAATGGCCTTCAACTCATTTCTGGGTAAACCTTTCTAAAATTGTGGCTAGCTAATCCCTGTTGTAGACACCTGCACGGGCACATTTTTTTAAAAATACCCAGAGAGTCAACTCACGATTTATACTGCACCCATTCTGTGAAGACGTTCGTTATAGTTTCTAGCGTGTTTATCATTCTGAGCAAAGCCAGCACGCTGAAACCCTCAGTCACGATGACTTGTTACTTTATGCTAGAACAAATGACAAAATACGCACATACATACTTAGAAGAGTCGATTAATAGAGTAAAAGATGATGAGAAAACTTTGACGAGCAGAAAAAAAAAACTGGATTCAGGTTAGACAGAAGATGGCGACTGACATTGTATTGAATCTTTTGAAGATCGCAGGTGACAGGAAAGCACGAAGATCGGAAAAGAGTTCCACGTGTTAGAAGTGCGAGATTAGAACCTATTAGGATAGAAAATACGATCACACTTAGCCATTTCAACACTAAAACGATAAATACGTTCAACCGAGATACCAAGGAGGAAAGCTCAGTAGAACAAGTGTCTGTGAAATATTTATGGAGTAGACAGAGAAAACACACGACATGGTGATGGGGAAGTGAATGAAACTGAGATGCCAGGTCAGGACTTAGAACATAGCCAACTTTGGATTTTATCAAGAATCTTGAGATGTATAACAGATTGAAGAGAGGATAAACAAGGGAACAGTGTTCAAGAAAAAAGATGGAAATTGACGATGAATTAAAATTTTTGAAGATTGTAGTCATCAGGAAAGTATGAAATTTGAAGGATTTTCTACAGGTGAGAAGTGCGAGAAATGAAACTCTCACAATAGAAGTGAAAGTTGAATTTAGTTAGTTCAAGAGTAAAAAGGTGAAACTTATTTGCCAAACTAGTAAGGTGCTAAAATTCATATTGTCGAGCGAGCAGGAAAAAGTGCATCTGAGTGGATGCCATGAAAATATTTGTAAAAAAGACAGAGAAAATAATTTTAGCCGAGATGCCAGGTCAGGATAGATTACATTCCAGACTATTCTTTGGATTTTATCAAGAATCTTGAGATATACAACAGGTGCACCAAAGCAGATGTGGCAGCAATATTCAATGCATGCATGAAGGGAAGATTTATAAATGTGCAAAATGGATTCAGGCGAGAAAACTATCTCACATGGCATAATGAGCCAATTTTCCTAGCAGCAGATATTGAAAATGAATATTTCTTATTAAAAATAAGGGATTTTGACACCACAAGTTAGCAGAACTTATAATTTTGATAGATAGATAGATAGATAGATAGATAGATAGATAGATAGATAGATAATATGAACAAACTGAGATAGATAGATAGATAGATAGATAGATAGATAGATAATGTACAGACTGTGATAGATAGTATTAAACGACTGCCATATATATATATATATATATATATATATATATATATATATATGGAGAGAGAAAGAGAGAACAGGCTTAGATAGATATGAACAGACTATGATAGATATTAAGCGACTGTCATATATATATATATATATATATATAGAGAGAGAGAGAGAGGGGGGGAGCGACAGAGAGAACAGACTAAGATAGGTTGGTAGATAGATACTTCGTCTTAATCAATACCTCTCTATCTTTAAGAACTTTTGGAACGGCTTGATAAAGCTGACATCTTTGGAAAAGATATTAATTTAATCCAAACATATACTGGCCGCTAGCCGCCTGCATACGAATAGAAAATAGAAAAATCATGCAAAAAATATAAAGAGGTGTATGCCAATGATGTGCCTTCTCAATGGATTTATTCAACCCAGACAGTGAGGCGATTCTGAGAGTCTATGAAGGCCTACCAGGATTCAAAATTGGCGGCCACATTTTTAACACCATAAGATATGCAGATGACACCGTGTTTGCAGCAGACGCAAATACCAGAATACAAGATATAGTTAAAAGAAATCCTACAGAATGTACTAAAGAAGATGAATAGAAATGAGTAAACATCAACTGAAAGGAGTCCAAAATCTAAGCAAATTATTAAGAAACAGAAAAAAAAATTGTTAAAAACAAAATGGTTTCTGTCTATATCTCTGAGATGAGGTATTATGATTACTTGCATTATTTACATTATTCGGACTGTTATCCTCATCTTCATTGCCATATTTCCAACGTTTCGGTCGTTGTACGCTCCGGCCTTTATGTCTATGTCTCTCTATATATCTGTCTATATCTCTGAGATGAGGTATTATGATTACTTGCATTATTTACATTATTCGGACTGTTATCCTCATCTTGCCATATTCACAACCTTTCGGCCGTTTTACGCTCTGGACTTCTTCAGGTTATTAGTCAAGGATTCATTGCTCAGTGTATAAAGACGTTGGTTAGTTCCAGTGACTAAATCCAAAGAATTGTGAGTTCACTACTAGGCCACAGCAATGGTAAACCAAAATTTGGAGTGTTGAGTCAAAGGGAACTGAGATATTCGGAAGAGGCATGGCTCGTGGATCTAGGACAATCTACACCGGTGGGCGAAATAAAGAGTTCGATTCGAAAAATCAAGTAAAGAAATGGTTATTGAATTGTTATGCAGTATATGGCAGTAAATACTGGACATTCTTCTTAAAGATGAAGAAGAGGCTTGAAATGACACAAATGGCGTTCCACAGAAGGATGCTGAGAATACCAGTGACAAAACATGTGAACAACGACGAAATTTTAGAGAAAATGGGGAAAAAAAGACACTTAGCTATAACAGCAAGAAGAGAAAATTGAAATACGTGTAAAGTGGGATTGGAAAATTTAATACTCAAAGGACTGACTGAAGGCAAACGAGGAGGGAAACATCGCATTAACCATCTAGAGGGTTTGTGTAAATGGATGGCAGGAAATTGTGGAGAGCCATGATCGCAAACCCCTTAAAGGAACACAGCACATATCTAGATATATTTATCATTGCTTTTATTTGTGTTCGAACGCTGGTGATAATCACCAGGAAGAAGTCTTCCTCTTCCCCAGCAGATTATAGAGTCAGATGGATGGAAAAAGACATAGATAGATAGATAGATAGATAGATAGATAGATAGATAGATAAATAGATAGATAGATAATGAACAGACTGAGACAAACAAACATAGATAGATAGATAGATAGATAGATAGATAGATAGATAGATAGATAGATAGATAGATGGGGCTAAAGGCGAAGGTCAAATAAATTTGTCGATTTTCTCCCATTAAAATTAGGAAATTAATGAGAAAGCTAGAGAGAGATACGGAGAGAGAGATAGAGTGGGAGAGAGAGAGAGAAATAAAAAAGAATAATTTGAGAATTAGATAGATAATGAACAGACTGAGACAAACAAATAGATAGATAGATAGATAGATAGATAGATAGATAGATAGATAGATAGATAGATAGATAATGTGTCCGATGAAGTGAAAGGCTGTCATTGGCTGTATTTTTTTAATAATATTCATATTGAATACGGTAAAATTTTCCTCTTGTACTGGGTATGGCTGGCATTTTAGAGACAATTTCGTCATGACTATTTTTAAAATAATCTATATTTGAATCATTATTGCAGATGAAGCCACATTGTCTGTTCAGACTCTTTGAAATTCGTACAGAATTGATTGTTTTGGGTTTAGTTCTTTTGAATTAATTTCAGAGATATCCAAAATGGGCGTTTGTCTTTGTCATTATTGATATAAGCATTTATAAATGAATCATAAACAATATTCTTTTATAAACTGTGGGTCCTCAGACATGTGTCAGAGATTAGAAATTATTCTCTTATGTGATGCGCCACAGCAAGACCTTAGCGATCATGGCTCCACATAGTTCCTATCCTTTGTAGCACGGTTTATCTTTACACTATATCTCTCACAACTACTGTCATTTACACAAACTAATTAGATATGTTATCATTGTATCGCTCTTGCCTTGTAGTCCAGGGTATGACGATAAACTATATCCAGCAGCAAAACGCTTGGCACAAGGTATCCAAAAGATCCTCCCCAGGTTTTTAGTTCAGAGTTGTCCTTCTAGACTGGTTGTCAACCAAGGCTAAAAAGCCACGTCTACCATATTATTTAACACAATAGATCAGGGTTGGGTAAACTAGGCTCCGCGGGCCACATGCGGTCCGCCAAAACAATTTATGCCGCCCGCCAAATCTGAGTTAATTTGAAAGAGAAGGTTACCAAGCAACGCCAAGCAATTTGACGCCTAATTTTAACAAACTGTTAAATGATTTCACTCAGATACATTATTCTCATTGAGATCCTTCTGTTGCTAAGTTACTTCAAAATATCAATATTTTTTTTTCTTTAAACTGAATTACTCTGTTTTCAAACAAATCTGTTTCATGTAAAGTTTCTACATTAAAATCTATATTAATTCTTTTCTTTAAATTTAGTTAATTTATATGTTTTATTTGAAGTTTCTGCTTTAAGGTATTAGTAAGAATTGTTTTTTTATTTCTTTACGCAGAGTTAATTTGAATTTAAAATAATTACGTTTTCTACTTTATAATATTAATTAATAAAAATGTTTTTTTCTTAAAACAAAGTTATTTTGTCTTTCAAATGTGTTTCATGTAAATCTTCAACTTAAAAATACTTATTAATATTTTTTCTTTAAAGTACTTTAAACAGAGTTACTTCGTCTTTCAAATAAATGCGTTTCATGTGAATCTTCTATAGTACTTTAAAATATTAATTCAGGCTGTTATGTGCCATGCGTGATAAACACTTAGGCGATCATGTATCTTTCGATACATGACTAACGAGGCAGTTTTTTTTTCGCTGCAGTAGGTTGCCATTTATTTCTGCGGTAGACCAGTTGCCATCCAACGCTATAGAACCCGGTCTGTCCAGCTATTTACCCATAGCTGGGGGGAGAAGAAGAAGAGAATTCATAGCTTTTGCAAGAGAATTAGCATGTAAGTGATTGTTATGGATTCGACTGGAATTCGAACTCGGCTTTCTGCTTTTTCAGTGCGAGCCGCTACCCATTACTCCACCGTGCCTAAAAATTAATTGCTTTATTTAATTAAAAGTCCTTTTTTTGTGTATTTTAAATATTAATTATTTTGGGTTAATATACTATGTGGCCAAATAAAATTTTGAAAATTTGAATGTGACCCTTGCACTTAAAAGTTTTCCCCACCCCTGCAATTGATAGTAGGAAATGAAGAGATAGGTGCATACCATTCACAAGGGTATTTGAGCATAAATGAGGGCAAGAAGGTCCCACTTCTTATTCGGAGCCTCTACCCATTAGAACATATCTTCTATATCTAAGCATGTATGTATGGATGTAGGGTTAGCGATAATCTGAAGGATAATCTGGATGCATTAGACCTGGGTGCGCAGCACTGGGGGGGGGGAACACACTTAAACTCGTACAGAGTAGTGGCACTTTTTAAGGAATGCTCGGCGTAATCTCCGAAGAGGTACTCACTCTTATTTGCTAGCAAATACAAAGTCTTAGAAATGTGGTGTGTGTGTGTGCGCGCTCGCGTGTGTGTGTGTGTGTGTGTGTGTGTGTGTGTGTGTGTGTGTGTGTGTGTGTGTGTGTGTGCGTGCGCGCGTGCGAATGTGTGTGATTGCATGCTGTTGTCAAGAGTAGGATATACAGGCTGTCCATAAAGTTCGTGTGCACTTTAAAAAATGTATAACTTTATTTGCATTTGCGATAAAAATAATCTGTAAAAATTGTTATAAAGTCTAATGTACCTAGTTTTAAGCATAGCTAAAATGACTAATGTGATTTTAGGCATTACTGTAAATCAGTTGGCAAATGTTTTCAGTGAACTGCAAAATCGTATTACTCTTTGTATTGCTAATGATGGAGGACATGTGGAAACTTAAATAAAATTTCAATAAAACCTTAAAAAATATAGATTTACTTCTTTCTAATCCTTTTTACAAATTATTTCTATCGCAAATACAAATAAAGTTATAATTTTTTTAAAGTGTACACGAACTTTATGGACACCCTGTATAAATCATCTGAAAGAATATCATAACCAGAAGCTAGCCAGCCTCGTCGTCAATAGCTGAGTTCTTCGCAACAAGTTTTGCAGATCACCAATCTGGACCGAGGAGGCACATGGTATACACAGGAGAGTTCTAGGCCTCGCTGATCCAATCAACCCAATGAAGGATACAAAAATTATCTCTCATATATACCTGATCGCTACGGAACCGAATGCTGGACTCAAGATTCATCTTAGGGGTCATGGATGCCGAAATGAAACCGAAGTCATTACAAATGATGTGATGGGTGATGCGGGGTGATTTGCTAGATATTAAGCCGGGTGAAAAATAGAACCTGTTAGAGGGTCAATGAAACCGCTACCTGGGACAACTGTCATCCCGTACACATACATAAACATAAATGTGTTATAGGTATATATATAAATTCTGTGTATGTATGTGTGTATGTATGTGTGTATGTATGTCTTGCAAATATGTATGTCTGTATGTCTTGCTATAGGCCTTCCAAATCAGCTGCTGATTTGAAAAGCCACCTTCGAAGACATTCGAGAGGAAACAATGATTGAGATTGAATGTCGGTGTTGATGGGCAAGACGTCAGTCATCTGTGAAGATGGGGCAATCAACATGTCTTGGAATTATAAGTGTGTATGGGAGGGAGAGAGAGATAGCATGCTGTTGTCGAGGGCAGGTTATGGAAACTATCTGGAAGGCCATCATCACAAGCAAAAGCAAGACAAATATGGCAACTATGCCAATCAAGGATATAAAGTTTATCTGTCATATACGACTGATACCTATGAAATCAATGCTGGTCTCAAGTGGCATCGTAGGGGACATTGATGCCGAAATGTAACCGCAATCATTACAAATGATGTGAGGCTTGATGCGAGGTGAGTATCTAGATATTCTGCAGGGTGAAAAATAAAACCGGCCAAATTGGTGGATTAAACCTCTACCTGAGACAACAGTCATCCCGTACACATATGTATACATAAATATGCTATAGTTATTTTCGAAGCGTAGCTTAGATATAGCACAAGGCCGAAAGTATGGGGCACCCAGTGAGTATCGAACTCACTACTCAGTCGTAACTATCCTAGCGAGACAAGTTTGCGAACCATTACACCACCGGGAGGTGCCCTACATAAGTGTGTTATAATTATATTGTACGGCGCCTTATCACACACACATATAATAACACACATGTTATAATTAATCCATCGAGTCTAGAAGAAACCTCAGCAGAATGCAGAAAGGACTGGATGGCCGTTTCCTCTCATATTTGGGACTCATCAGCAGCCGCTCAGCCGCTCAGCCACTCAGTCCAGAGTATTAGAAGCCTGTTCAAATTCTTTGAACTGAGCGGCTTGGGGAAAGTATTTGTGGTTCCTTCCAGACTCGATGAATTACTTAATTATAATTATCTCAAATCCGCTTAGTTTTTATCACACACACACACACACACACACACACACACATATATATATATATATATATATATATATATATATATATATATATATATGTGTGTGTGTGTGTGTGTGTGCGCACCTCCACTATCCCAAATAATCAAAAGTCGCTGGGAAATACTACATCTCAAACCAGACCTACAAAAATTGTTTAAGGAACCCGGCCTTCTTGCATATCGTAGACCTAAGAACCTAAAAGAAATCATAGGTAGTAACCACATTTCAGGGTACAAGGTAATCCGTAATAAACTAAGAACAAAAACAACAGGATTTTCCCAACCATGTAACAGCAAAAGAAGTTTATGTTGCAACCATATTAAACACATGAATTCATTCACTAGCTCAGTGTGTTATAGGTATATATTTAAATACGGTGTGTGTATGTACAGTAGCGTCCAAAACTAAGGGTCAACATTTTAAAACCTAATATTTGTTAGAAATAACAACTGTGAAAAGCTGAAATTTTGACAACTGGTAGTCGTTATCATCCATAATAACATACTAAAATTTGAATCATTTGCAAAGGATAGAAAAAGAATTATAACAATTATTTATTTATTTTTAAAATAGGATCGTCCAAAAGTAAGGGACAAAATTGAGAAAAACAATGTAAACAGTATGTTATATTCAAATTTTTTGATTTCCTCTAAAGAATAATTCTTACTTAGTCATTTGTAAACGTTGCATCAGCCGGCACCATGGCGAAACGCCAAAAACTTGATTACTCTGTGAGACAAGCTACTGTGAAGCTACACAAGGAAAAGCACACCATTAGAGAGATTTCAGAGAAAGTGAAACGTTCCAAGAGTGTTGTAGGCAGGGTTGTTAAATCCTACAATGATACTGGCAAAATAGTTAGTGCTATATATCGAATAATGCAGCGTATGTCATTAAAGGACCGTTTTAAGTCTTATTATGGATAATAACGACTACCAGTTGTCAAAATTTCAGCTTTTCACAGTTGTTATTTCTAACA